TATATATATATAATTACTAAAGGCAAGAAAATTTTGAGAGGCAGGATAACTCAATACCTTTCTTTTCCTCTAACCTTCTATTGAGTTAATAACAACTACAATTTATTCATTTAAGAGTCTATATTACATTATGTGAATAGCTTAATTTAATATACTTCATATTTACCTCACTATGAAATATATGGCTTAACATGACCAATTTAAAAATAAATTAATGAGATTGAGAGTATTCAATGTGTCTCAAAATATGGCATCCAATCTTCAAAGATTTATTGGCATCCACTATGTGTTCTGTGTTATGACAAAATTAATAAGAGAAGAAGTACACAGTCTGGATGCCCCCAAGCTTGGGATAAAAGATGTAAATCAAAAACTTAAAAAAACCTAATAAAGCGATCAATGGAGTGGTACAGAAAGTATAATACAAGTTCAAAAAAGAACAAAACAGTGTGGGCTTTGGGGTTTAGAAGACATTTGGTGAGTGTTGACAAAAAGATATCATTTCAATCGATGAGAAGTGGTGATAAAGCACATGTATGGAGAGCAAGGTAAACTCCAGAATTTAAAGCTGAAAGAGGACTAATCTACTTTATTTTACAGATGAAGCAATAGAGACCCCGGCGCGTTCAATGATTTGGCCAGTCAGCAACTGATGGTTGTCAGACTCTGCACTGGAGCCCAAGTATTCTGACTCTGACTTTGGTACAGTTTAATGTTACATAACACTTGGCAGAGCTAAAGTACAAATTCAGAATGCAGAGCATGAGCTCCTACCACTGGAGCAGAGCTTCTGAAATTTCAATATGAGTCACCGGGGGATCAGATCGGTGTAAAAATGCAGTTAGTCATTCAGTAAACCTAAGATTCTGCATTTCTATCAAACCCCCAGTTGTTACTGCTAATGCTTGCTAAGCACCACACGTTAAGTAGCAAACACCATAATACATTCTACAGAGTATTGACATTATTTTATACTCCAGAGAATTACTTCATAGCTCCTAAAATTTAGGAGGCCAAATGTCCCTTTGGAAGTCGGATGAAAGCTATATACCCTCTCCACCAGAAAGATGGATATGCACGTAACATTTCATATGAAACACCAGGATTTTAGGAACCTCTCCACCTTCACTCACAAAGCCCACCGTGGTAGATCTGAAGAACTCAGGTGATGAGCCTCCAGCTACAAGGTGATTGTGGGTTGTTGAAACACTTCATTGGCTTTCTCAAGTGATTCTTAAAATTTCAATTACTGATGTTCAGCCTCGTGTTTACCAATTCTAATGTTGGGCTCCTTTTTTATAGCTTCTACTTCTTTAAATGAGTTTAACTGGCCTTTGATGCTAGGTTCTCCTAATCAATGCCTCGGCACAATGTCTAAGAAAAGAGAATGACTGGGGTGGTACAAAGGAGACTCTCAGAAGGGGAACCAAAGAATAGCTGCCTCACTGAGCACTAGGCACACAGAATAATTCACCGAAAAGTGTGTCATGAAATCTGAAGCACCACTAAAGACCAAAATGGTCTACTTCGCCACTCTGCCTGGAATGAGCCTGATTGGTTTATTTCTTGCTCATCTCCCATTATGCAATCTCCCTCATCCTACAAATTCTTTGTAATAATTATTAGGATAGTTTATTGTATGTCTCCCCTGTACTAGGCATCATGCCAGGTGCTTTCATCCTGCGATCATCTTCAGCAGATAGATTATGATGAGGAAATAGACAGTCCAAAGCCAGTTCACCCAAGGGAAGGCAGCTAATTGGAGGTAGAAATGAGATTGAACCCACTCCTGTTTGGTTGTGGCCTCTCTGTTTTGCATTACTGCATCATTCTTTCCCACAAAGCCACACTGCCACATGCATGCAGATCTGAGGTTGTTGTCATTACCAGCTACATTTATGTCCCCCATATTCTCAATCCCAGACCAAGCCCCCACTTTATCTTGAGTCTTCTCTTTCCTGATCTTGTCACTTACCCCCTAGGAACAGTATTTTTATGTCCTCTTTGTTCTCTCTTTATCCTTTTCTTGCATCTACTGCAGCGGTTCTCAACCTGTGGGTCGCGACCCCTTTGGGGGTCGAACGGCCCTTTCACAGGGGTCGCCTAAGACCATCGGAAAACACATATATAATTACATATTGTTTTTGTGATTAGTCACTATGCTTTAATTATGTTCAATTTGTAACAGTAAAATTGGGGTCACCACAACATGAGGAACGGTATTAAAAGGTCGTGGCATCAGGAAGGTTGAGAACCACTGATCTACTGTCTTTCCTTCTAAAAAAAGAAAAGGGAAAAGAAGGGGAAGAAAGAGAGGGAGAAAGAAAGAAAAACGAAGCAAAGAAGGAAGGGAGGAAGGGAGGAAGGGAGGAAGGAAGACGAGGATGCAGAAGTGATCAGTTCCTATGAAGATGCGTCCTTTGAGCCTCACTGGGGAGTATTAATTATAGGAGCATGAAGGTCCCTGATCACCTGCTAACACCACTATTGCTACTTTACTAGAAGTACCAACAGTATAAAATCTGATGACAATTGTTCTCATTAGGAAGCAACCTCACTGAAAATATTCCCTTTGTTTAGAAAAAATCCTTAGGGTTATTGTAACTTGGCTCAGTGAAGCAATATTATAAGATCTAAAGTATAAACCAAATACTACTAGTATGTCTTCAAATTCATTGAACTTCCCTAATATCACTATGGTATAATCAAAGTAAGTTATTTCTACCCAGAAAATTACTTTGTCACATGTTCCCACAATATATCCAAGTATCATCTTCAGCTTTGAGGATATAAAAAAAGTACATTCTGCTCAGGTATTCAAAGTATAGCTTTAAGATTTGAATCTGCAGGTAACCAAGTGACATTTATGGGCCTGTGTGTAGTGTTATATATTGGAGACTCAACAATTCACACTGTATTTCTAAAGCAAGAGAGAACTTGTTTCTGATTAAATTGTAGAATGCCAGACCTCCTGAGAATGCCTGAGTAAAAGGTGAGAGTAAAGCCATTTCCTTAAAATCAAATTATCTGATAGATAAAAATGTTTTCCTCCTTCTTAAAGATAGAAAAGGAAATAATAGGTTATGATCTTTTTAAAATATCAGGCTAGGGAATGGGGTGAGCTGATTAAAAATAAATTATTTGCTTTTAATATTCTTGCTGAGTTTGGGGATTGATAGAGGAAAAAAATTAATTTCTGTTAAAAAACATAACACAGACTCATAGATACAGAGAACATTTTGATCGTTGCCAGATGGAAAGGGAGGGTGAGGGGATGGGTGAAAAAGGTGAAGGGATTAATAAGTACAAATTGGTTGTTACAGAATAATCATAAGGATGTAAAGTACAGCATAGGGAATATATATCTATCTAATAATAAGATAATATGCAAATTGTCGGGATGCTGTCATGTAACGACCGAGCAGGCTGCGTCCTCGCCCCCTGCACTGGCCTGGAGACATAAGGCTCGCATCCCAGGGGTCTGCAGGTGTGCGGAGAGGCCCCTCCACCACGTGCCCAGCCGGGGGTCCGCAGGCACGCAGAGGTCCACAGGCCTCTGCCGCAACCCGGCCCAGGAGTTCGCAGGCCTCCCCCGGCTCCTGCCTACCTCTTTGGGGCAATCCACTGA